CCCAGCCGCCACGGTACACTGGTGCTCAGCTCCTTGCGGGCAGAGAGGTGGCCGGAGTAAGGCAAGCCAGAGCGAAGGCAGTGCTGGTCCGGCGGAGGGAAGGGAGCGCTGCTCGGCGTGCCGATCCAGCTGTGTGTCCCTAATGGGCTGGAGGAGAGGGAGAGGCTGATGCCAGGCAGGAAGGTTCCCCTGCTGTGTTCAACCCAGTGAGCAGATCTGATCTTCCTGGTGTTTCAAAAGCCCTTAGATGTGGAAAGACGACGCTTCTACTGCTTTGAACCCTGTGAAGGAGCAGGAGGAGAATGAGCTGGTATACAGAGTCCCCTAAAAGCCCCACAGCTGCCTTTTCCCACCCTGTGCAGCCATCTCAGGCTGGGAGAAGGGGACCTGCCCCCTTCTGGGCTCCAGCCTTTGCCTTGCACGGCAGGAATCTCTTGTTCATGGGACTGCAGAGCCACGGCAGAGCAGAGCATTGCCTTCTGCTCCTCCACCCCAGCCACAACCAGGAGCCCTCAGCCACGTGCCCAAGCCTGACCAACGCAGCAGCTGGAGAGCCCTCGCACCCCCCTTCATGTCAAGGCAGTGTGAGCCTGGGCTGTGCTGTGGCCTCCATCCTTCTCCTCCCCAACTCCCTGTAAGAAGGGTGCAGGCAGCCACAGGAGCTGCCCCTGCCCACGGCTGAGGAGGGCCTGGAGTGGGTACTTACTCTATGGCTTCTTCAGTGTGTGACTGTTGCTTGGTTTTCTGAAAGAGAAGGGAAGAAAGGGCCATCAGCCCTGCAGCCCCTCAGCCGTCAATCATACGGAGGGCATGCAGAGCTGGCATCTGAGCCTTGGTCGTGCGCTCCTCGCACTCTGTTCTGCACGGGCTGCCTGCACCCCACTCCCAGCCCACCCCCAGCCTGGGCACCCCTGCGCGTGCTGGGCGACACCGGCTGGCTGCATCCTCCTGTCCTGGGCTACAAGAAGGCCAGCACACTCGGCGCGCTGCTGCTAGCTGTACCTGCTGGTTGTCTTCTTGGAACCGGTGCTCTCGCAGCTCTCCTTGTAGCAGATGTCCTGGTGTACCTTGTAGACTCTCCTGTACCTGCACACACAGCAGAGGGGCGAGTTGTAGGGAATAACAGAGACAGATCTGCTATTGTAAGTGTGAGGGGGGACACTGGGGGTCTCCCCCGTTTTCTTCCAGGCTGCAGTAGCAGGCCTTGGTAGGAATGGGGCTGAGCCTGCTATGCCAGAGGGCTGACCTCACACAGCCAGGCCCTTCCGCCTCCATTGCAGGAAGGCTGGGGAGGGCAGGGGACAGAGAGGCCCCCAGGCCCTGGCATTGCAGCAGGGCTGGCCCCAGCCCTCTGCTTGCAGATGGAGAGGCGGCTAGGAGCTGTGCTGGCAGGCAGCAGGCAGGGGATCCACTGCTGCTTGAGGGGTTACGCATACCAAATCCAGTCTTGCTGCCACATAGGTGGGTAACACCGCTACGGGGCTGTCATTTCAGCAACACCCTGCCCTGAAATGCAGCTGGCGGGGCAGCCCTGGGGGCTCGGGGGCAGATGAGGCTCCTCAGCCTGCGCTGGGGAGGGGGCAACTACATCCACCTGGCAGTTGTCAGCCGGGGTCTGAGGTGGCCTCGCGCTCGCTCTCCCTTCCCCGGAGCTGAGCTGCAGGGAGACATCCCCAGCTCTGAGCACAAGGGGAAGGGGGGAGCACAACCTGCAGGCAGTACTCACAGGCAGTGGCAGGGGGGCGCCGCCCCTCCCGGCGAGGGCAGGTGCCTCCTTCCCACACGGGTAATGGCTTGGTTTCCGAGTACAGCCGTGTGCACGAGTGTGGCACCTTCTTGCAGGCTGCTTGGGGAACAGGAGAGGGGAGCTATCAACAAGCCCATCTCTGGCCCTGCCTGCCTGTGCCCCATGGCAGGGGGCCAGCGAGGCCCCCCTGGCTTCCCATCTGCTGTCCTGGAGGGCTGGGCTAAACAGAGCTGGACTGCCAGGAGACGTAGAGCCCCCAGCCCTGCGGTGC